ATATATATATATATATATATATATATATATATATATATTTATTTATTTATTTATTTATTTATTTATTTATTCTCTACCTCACGGGCGCGCGCGGCCCATGCATCCATCCAACTCGAGTCGGAAGACGGACACGGACGTGCTGCTCCCTACAAGCAACGCGACCGACGACCCCCCTGCGGCAGGCACCAAACAACCAAGCAGCCCCCGTTCCCCGGGATGCCAGCAACCAGCGAAGTGCTCGCGAACGGCCGCGACGGCGACGGCGACGGCGACGGCTGGCCTGCACATCCACTCCCAGCAGCCAGCCAGACCTGCTTGGCGTCCCCTGGCTGGCGCTGGCTCGCCACCAACCTGTCAGCAGCACAAGTCTTCTCTTCTCCCGCTTTTTCCTCGGGGGCATGATTATGGGTTGATTATTGATTGGTTCCGAAAGGACAGCGTCCGGCATCGTGGAGAAAAATCTGCCAACGACGGCAGCAACGAACGCTGTGACGGGAGGGACGATGCGTGCGGCCTGGCTTGCAGGGTCTTGAAGCAACCCACCAGGCAGCGGCTGGTCCCCGTGCGTGAAGTCTCCCGGCCGAACTGCACGCTCTGCCAAACCCCGGGAAGAGGCCCGTCGTCGGGTCCTACCGCCGCGAGGACCCGGGTCCAATCGTCCAACGCCGGGCAGCCATGATCACAAGTACACTACTCCTACTTGCTACTAGCAGGAGTACTCGACAGGCCAGGTTGCCGTTTCCACAAGTCAGTACGTAGAGGACTGCATCGAATTAATTTGGATTGATCGCAGCGGCCAGCTAGCCGTCGTACAGTCAGAACGGGTCGGAACATGTCTGCACCGGAATGACGACGGGCCGGCGTTTCAGCCTCAGCCTCGCGCCCATCGTCGTTGCGCATCTCGTATATATTCGCGTATGTTAGGCGACGGCATCCTGCACAGGCGAGGCGAAGATTGTTTTAAACTTTATAGAGAGGAGCCATCGGATGCCTTGGATCTGGAACACATTCTCCACAGCAAAACGCAAATTAAAATAGCGTCTACCTAGTATGAATCTTTATTTGGTCCGCTCTGATATATATGTGCTATCAGAACATGAAGATGGATAAGACCGACTAATTCAAGTAGCCAGTCACAGGCTCACTTGCCGAGACGAAACTAAAATGTGGGTTAGTTCCTCATCAGTAGACTCTTAGAGTTAATTGAGATCTAGTTCTGTTCTGTCCTATCCTATCCTGTTTCGGAAAACTGCACTGGCTAATTACCCAGGTCCAGCCAGTCCCTACCCTATCCAACAAAAAGTCCATGCCAACCAGGGATTGACAAGAAAACAAAAACGTCCTCCCTGTCACAAACTAGCTTCTTAATCCTTCCACTGCACTGTTCTGACTGTTCTTCGTGCACTGCCGTTGAATAAAGTACGAATGCATTCATATGTCTCTGTGAAACGAATCTTCCAACTGCTGCCCGATTGGTCCAGATCCAGTTACGGTAGGTCCCCATCAAGTCAGGCTGTGTTTAGATGCCAAAATTTTTTGCAAATGCTACTGTAGCATTTTTCGTTATTATTTAGTAATTAGTGTCAAATCATAGTCTAATTAGGCTTAAAAGATTCGTCTCGTGGATTTCGTCTAAACTGTGTAATTAGTTTTATTTTTTATTTATATTTAATGTTTCATACATGCGTCCAAATATTTAATGTGACGAGGAATCTTGAAAAATTTTGCAAATTTTTCTGGAACTAAACACTACCTCAGAGGAGAGAGGCATCGCCAGAAATCGTCCTGACAATGCTTCTTCTTTCGTGCACTGTTCTCCAGGCACTGTGCGTGCATGAATGCATGGCAGTGTACTATTACTGCTACTGACGTGATAGGATTCCATCTACCCGGTCAACGTTGCTTGCTTCTCCCATCTGGCATGGCCATCTTCACAGTTCACACCCTAGATCCAGGAGGGCAACACACTGGCTATAATACGTCTCCACTAGTCCTATTAATCTCCTTCATCATAACACACTAGTAATAAGACTAATAATAAGAAAATATATCACACGTTGTTGTCAGGTTAGGTCGATCCGTAACGACTAAAGCACCGATGACGATGAATAAACAACAAAGCCGGGCAGCATGGAACGACGACGATGTCACCTAAAATGAAGGCCCCCTGGAGGATCATGTGAAGGAGCCTTTGTGAATTGTTATAGTCAGTGACCAACCATGTGGCCGATCAATGCAAACTGACAATGATGTTTGAACAATTTGCTTAATACTACTGCTAGCTCGAAGGAATCTAAAGAACACTTTTTGGCCACGCGATGGAGGAGCAAATAAACAGTAGCTCGTGCCTGTGCATAAGTAAGAACAGACAGCATTTCGAAGAAAGTGAGAGAGGTTGTTGGTGGTGGTGGTGGATGCAGAAAGGATTCGATCGAGCGTCAGCTGCAGTGCCGCACCATGATTATTGCGAGATGGTGGACAATGCCACACAATGGCGCAAAATCGGCAATTTAATCGATCTCCGTTCAACTCGAGCAGGAACAGCGAGTGATTTATAGAACCAACAAACCGTACGTGGATGCATGGTTTGTGTGAGTTAACCAATAACCCGCTTAATTACCGCCTGCTTCATTCAGCTGCACACCATTTGTTACAGAGAAAAAGCAGAATGTCTGCATGAACTTTGTAGGGTCGATTGGAGTTAGGCAAGACGTATTGTTCGACCCATAACTTTTCGAGAGAGACAGAGACAGTGAAGGAGGGAGGCTAGGGGTGCCAAAAGATATGGTGGCATCACTTTGCGTGTTCCCATGTGCCAAGGAACCTCAGCTCAATAATGCCTGGTTCTCTCTTACGCTCACTGCTCACTGCTCAGTGGACGCAGCCATGCTAACAACTTCTCTCGCTCGCTAGCTCTCGCCGTCTGGTCTGTCTCCCCGGACAAACAGTCTGCAACCACTCCCAATAAGCACCCACGATGAACGCACACCAAACCGCTGGCTCTGGTCCAATTATCCGTCGGCTTCATAAACCCGAGATCTCTAATGAACTTACTTTCCAATAAAAACTCGATCCAGTAGACGACGTTGCGAACCACGCGTAACTCCTAGGCCGATCTAAATACCTAATGACAGACCGAAAAAGCAATCCGGTCTTCGACCGAAAGGCCTGGCCAAAGAAGGAATGACGCTCGCCTCCGACTCCGACCTCCTCTCTTCAACCGGAAGGCCTGGCCGAAGAGGGGACGACGCTCGCTTTCGACTTCGACCCGCTTCTCCGACCGGAAGGCCTGACAAAGAGGGGCCGACGCTCGCTTCCGACTCCGACCCGCTTCTCCAACCGGAAGGACACCGAACATCTGCTTACAGCTCTTCTCCGACCGGCTCGATCGGAGCCAACTGGGAAACAACTGCACGGGGACGCCCGCTCGGTAGGGACCCAGAGAATCAGGTGGAGCAAGTAAGACAGGGCGCTCAAGTCAACCGCAATACCAAGGACCGTACCCTGCACACCTGCAAGACAGTGCTGTCAGGTCATATCAGAAGGGTACTTTATAACCTTTCAGACATATCAGAATAACGAATAGTGTTGTGGGCGTCGCCATTTGTCCTACAGTATGGTAGGTGCCGACATTTGCCATACGAGAAGAACACGATGGAACCAACCACATGCATCTAAGCGTCAACAGTATTGTGGCCGCCAACAAACCGTCTCGTACCCGACAACGTGGGCAACAAGACTAGGTAGTACACACTCCCTCTCTCGGTTGTAAGGACATCCCTTCATCTATAAAAGAGGATGCGCTCTCTCCTGAAGGAGGACGATTGAGACAACGAACAAAAAACAACAGACAGATCATTCCGACTCTCTCTTTATTAGCTTTAGACTTTATAAAGGTACACAGAGCATACGTTCCAATACTTACCGCACGTAGGAGCTCCGTCACTTTCGGCCCTTCGGTCCAGAGTCCGACCGGATCTCTCGACACCCCCCCCCTTACTCATACTCGTTTGTAACCTCACAGCAAACTTCAAGTACCTGGGCTTAGGAATAAAGTCATCGATCGACTCAAACTGGACGTAGGGCACGTTGTGAATCAGTATAAACCCTGTGTCATTGAGTGTTAGGACACATTTAATAACCACGTAAAACAAAACGATAAATATTTTCTAGTCGATCACTTTTTGCAGCGACACCTCCTCTCGCGACTTGTCACGTCCGTTCGGTTGTTTGGCTGCTGGCTGGAAAGGTCAATGCCGCTGCTCCCTCTCGCTGTCGTTTTTTCCCTTCCAATTCCCCACTCTTTCATGGTTCTCATTTCTCAGAGAGAGAGGACAGGACAGCGACCGGTGACCACCAGACTCCGTCCATACGCGCAATGCAGCCAGCAGCTATGATGGATCGGATCACAACCTGACCTGACCCGCCGCAAGTCGCTTTCAAAAGTTGGGGAACGAAACTGAAGACGAAGACGAAGGCAGAGTGGAGGTGTGGAGGACCTGGATGTAATAAAACATAATATCAGGGTGGTGGAGGAGTGGATGGGAAAATTAGAAGAAAGAAAAAAATCCCCAGCTGCTGGACCCCGTGACTAAGGATGGCAACGGATCGGGTTTGGTTTTGGAAGAAAGAAAAGTTCGGGTTCGTTTCGGGTTTGGTTTTCCACCCGTCCACAGCTGTTTTATAATATACTAATAATAATTTGTTTACTTAGATTATTAAATTTATTTAAAGTTGACCCCTCTTGTTATACATGAATATGTGTATATATATCTGCAATTCGCCACCGCTGCTATCCGCGCAGGCCGGGTTTGTGTGCACGGAGACTCCACCGATCCGAACCCGACCTGGTGACTGACTGCATTGGGGGTTGGGGAGGCCTTTTTATAAACCGGTAGGCATGATGCTCTTCGAGTCACAGAGACCACAAGGGGAAGGGAGGCGCGCTCGTCTCGTCTCCCCCGGCCGGGACGAACAAGAAGGAAGGAGAGGAGGGGAGAATGCGCGTGGGCGGCGGGCGGGACGACGAGGAGGTGTCCCGGAAGCTCAAGAGCATGGACGTCGACAAGCTGGAGAACGGCGGCGGCGAGGAGAGCCCGCACCGCCGCGGCCCGCCGTCAAGTACCATGGCTGGAAGGCCATGCCGTTCATCATCGGTGCGTGCACCCCTCTCTCGCTCGTGTCGTGTACTAGTGTGTTGCTGGCAATGGTGGTGACGATGTAGTGAGGCTGAATTGCGCTTGCGCCTCGTTTGCATATACACGCGCGCGCAGGGAACGAGACGTTCGAGAAGCTGGGGACGCTGGGCACGTCGGCGAACCTGCTGGTGTACCTGACGCAGGTGTTCCACATGCGGAGCGTGGACGCGGCGACGCTGCTCAACGGGCTCAACGGCACCACCAGCCTCGCCCCCATCATCGGCGCCTTCCTCTCCGACGCCTACCTCGGCCGCTACCTCGCGCTCGCCATCGCCTCCGTCGCATCCCTCATCGTAAGCACCGCAACCGCAATCTCCGCCCCTCCTGTTATTTACCTTAATTCGTTTGCGACGTCCGTCGTCCTTGCTGCCGGACCGAGCCAGGCCCGGCGGCATGTCGGATTCGGGGTGGGTGGAATTCGGTTCGGCGGGCTGGGTGGTTGACGGGTTCCTTCGTTACGTTGCCCGCGGGGTCATCAGATTCAGCTTTTGCGATGACGGTGGGGGTTGGTGGCCTCTGTGTTGTGTCCCAGCTCGCGACGAGTTTAGTTGGACTCACTCTCGAGCAGCCGAGCTGTTCTTCTTTTGTTTTTTTCCCTCTCCTCCCTCCATGACTCCATCCGCTGGTTGGATTGGAGAAGAGAGGATGATGGGCGGAACATGGGACGAGCGCCCACGTGCGCACCCGCTCACTGGCTCGTGATCGCTTCTTGAGAGAATTTCTTCCTCTTTCCCTCTCCTCAACCTCTCTCCAACACAAATGCGCCATGTAGTACGTGCTGTACGTAGGAGATCTGGAGTGCGGTAGTTAACAGCACGACGTGCGCACCAATCATAGTGTCAGCACCGTCGTCATCGCTCAGCTGTGTTTCCAGGCCATTTATTGATTACATATACAAGACTCGGATACCACCAAGTAGCTATACTGCACCGTCCCGAATAGAGTTGCAAGCAGTTTTGTCGGACAGCATATAATAAATCAGTTTTAAGTGGATTTCCTTAGTTCTGGATCGAATTGCTAATGCGGGTTCGACTGTAATTTTGGCTCCCTTTTGAAGTGCGATTTGAGTGAATTTTTGGCGAATTTTTAATTATTGGTGTTTGTGTAGAGCTGGAGCTCAGTCGTCCTCAGTTTTGAAATTGTCTGTGACGTGAGATTAGAAAATTTTATTTGACACCCATTTAATGTTCCACGTGAACATTTGACATCATTCGATGTGACGTCGTTGAAATTTGACACTTTTTTAGGATTTTGGGGTGAAACTGAACACACGCTTAGTTCTGGATCGAATTGCTAATGCGGGTTCGACTGTAATTTTGGCTCCCTTTTGAAGTGCGATTTGAGTGAATTTTTGGCGAATTTTTACTTATCGGTGTTTGTGTAGAGCTGGAGCTCAGTGGTCCTCAGTTTTGAAATCGTCTTTGACGTCTAGAGTGTGTGTACGGAGCAGCTACCAAACCTGCGTCTTAACGGGTGAAATTGGTGGTTGGATTGGTGCTGTTCGAGACACGCCCTCCGGTTCTCTCCACCGACCTGTTTGTTTGGCTGTGGCTCGTCGTAAACGATCATAAATTTTAAGCGCCCGCAGTATTTTCTCTTATACAAGGCCAAGGTACTTTGGTCTTCACGTTGTCTTGGAGAAGCAAAAAAAAAAAAAAAAAAAAATGTTAAATTCACGAATTCAGCTCAGCATCGTGCACATATTTATGTCGAAAAGACCCTGTGTCTTATCTTCCAAATATTTACATGCATATATGGTTGTTAGGATTCCATATGCACTTATTTTGTGACAAAACACACAGCCTGAAGAAGCTTCCTTCCCATGCTACAGTACATATTTGATAAAAGTGTATATTTTTGAAGTGTGCTGTTCGAAAAGCCCTCCGGTTCTCTTACCGATTTAGTCTTCACGGATTCAGCTCAATATCGTGCACATATATTTATATGTCGGAAAGACACCAGTGTTTGTTGGCCCAAATATCTAGCCTATGTGCGTGTCCCTGATTCCATATCACTTACTTTGCCCTTTTAATTCCAGCCTGCAGTAGCTTCCAAAGTGCCATGCTTACACTACAGTTTGAAAAAAGCACTATGATTAGCGCCACGCTAAGTGGTAATAAAAGCTAAGTGCGCTTAACAAACACGACGTGAGCTTGTCTCACATTCAACACGGTGGCAGAGCTAAATATCTCAGCATTACATACGAACTAACAAAACCCACTAGTGTTTGTTGGCCTAGGTAGCTAGCCTCGTGTGCGTGTCCCTGCATTATCATGCACTTTGCCCTTTTAATTCCACAAAGTAGCATGGCAAAGTGCCCTTAATTATAGGGCATCCATCTGCTTTTTATCCTGTCATCATCAGCTGACATTACGGGTTTATTCAGTAGGTACAAGCTACTAGTGAGCCATGCGCATGCATCTGCCACGCATTAGCAACGATGATTGAGCTCGATTAGCACTGGGCAATGCCACGTTCTGGATAAAAAAAAAGAGAGGCTCGATTAGTACTACCATTAGCAGTAAGATAATACTCCATGTGAATGCCCACTTGCCCAGACCCAATCAGTAGCCTGCTGGCATCCTAATCCACCCGTGCCGCACACTTGGGCCCCTTCCTCTTGTCACGGCCGGCACGCGCGGCCAAATGACGATTCCATCCGATCCATCGCCAGCAGGCACGGCAGCAGCCCCTTATCCGGACAGGCAGGCGGATACGTCTCGGCGCGACCGCCAACTAACTGCACCAACCTCTCACAAGTCGCTAGTACTCACTTGTAGGTGGCGTCTGGACACGAGTCATGAGGTGGAGCCGTCGGAGATTGTTGACTGGTGAAGCTAAAAGGCTAGCTTAGCTAGGAGCCGGTTCTGCTTCTGCCTGCGAAGTGGTGGCCTGCCGTGCTGTGCGCGCGGACAGTGCCCGGGACGTCGGCCAGGACAGGCAAATATCTCTCTGGATCGCCTGCCTGGTTCTGGTTGCCTGCGGCCGAAAACAATGGATCTCGTCCCCAGTACGTGTACTCCTACATGGGTAGATCAATCATGCCGGTTCCGGACCGGAGGCACTGCAATGCCGGCATCCACGTACTGTAGGTACTACGCGCGTGCGTACGTTGCCGCGCCGGTGTCGCCTCCTGACCACCCACCCACTTGTATGCCGGAGTGCCAGCGTCGGTTACGGACACGTTGGTGTCATGGGCTCACACCCCGCACCTGGCATTTCATGGGGCTGTTCGGCTGGCTGGCCGGTGGCTGGCTGGCTGGGCAGCCCCCCTCATTGTTCACGTGAACCATTTCTAGCTTAATCAATTGGAGTGCCGAACGGGTAGGTGCGCGAGGGAATTTCGCCACTAGCTTAGCAGTGGGGAGGTTGCGGGTGGAGGACTGGAGGTGCGCTCGTGCTCCTGGCCGGGTCGTGGCCCAGGTGCACGCCCAGACGGGAGCCGCGTTCGTTACCTCGCCGGGCGCCGGTTTTGTTCGCTTGCGACGCCGCCTGTGGGGGGAACAGTGTGGGTGGGCGCCTAGGCGGGGCCGGGGGACGCGGCACCGGCACGACACGCGCACGCGTGGTGCCGGGCGAGCGGAGCGGTGGCGTCGGAGCCGTGCACGGCAGTGGGGTGGGTGGGTGGGCGGGCGCTGGGAGGATGTGTCGGTGGGGGCTCGGGCGGCGGCTCCGTCTCGGTGCGTTACGTGCCGTGCCCCGTCGGAACGCGTGACGGGGAATGTTTGTGTGGGTCTGGGCTCTTCTCTGGAAGTCTGGACCGGGCGGCTGCTAGGACTAGGAGCAGCGCGGCGCAGCCAGAACACGTGATGCGGGCCAAAAGTTCGCGTGCCCTTAAATCCGATTTGATCTGTTTTTTTTTCATCCAAAACAGCATTTTTTCTCATAAATTATTCCAGATTCCTCTCAGCGAACGGGGCCAGTCCAGCGTCCAGACCGTAGAGGATTCTCTCGGCTTCGAGAGAAATATACGGATTTCCAAATTCCAATTCCACTGAGGTCCCCGATGCTATGGCTTAAGGCTATGCTACGAGAATGAAGCTGCCGCAGTGCCGCGCGCCTTCTCATGTGGGTTGTGGCCGCCATGTGCGCCCAAATGATTCGCCCGGCCACCTTTTCCGGAGTCCGGGCATATCTCTGTCTAGTCGAAGTGACCGCCGACTAGCTGTAGCTGCACGATGACAGCCACCGCCAGGAAATGGAGCCACTGGGATTGAGGGCGCGTTTAGATCCAAATTTTTTTAGGTTTTGGCTATTATAGTATTTTCGTTTGTATTTGGTAATTAGTGTCTAATTATTGCCACCGCCAGGAAATGGAGCCACTGGGATTGACTCGATGAATACTGCGCAAAATTTTTTGGGTTTTGGGTTACTAAACAGGCCCTGACTCACTTGCCCGTCCCATTCGTGTAACGTGACACAGCAGACCATGACAGGCGTCAATTAGAGGTTCGCCTCCTCTGCTGGTTTGCTCCGCTGGTGACACTTTGTCCTGTTGCCGGCGGCGGCGGTTGAGTCATTGCAGTGGTCACGGCGGAAGACGAGGCCGGTTTTGTCGTTTCAGCATGTGCTTCGAGAGTTGGGCCGTTGGGGTAGAAAGGAGAGATCCATAATGGACATGCGTGGGCCTGGGCTTTACATGTACTAGGGAGCATAAGTGGGCCATGAGCCCATGACCAAAGACTCGTGATTCTGTCTTAGACGTGCTTCAATGTTGGCATGCTGCTCACTCGTTGGTTCCATGCATCCACCACCAGGGCATGTTCCTGCTGACGCTGACGGCCGGCGCGGACAGCCTGCACCCGCCGGAGTGTGGCGTGGGCGAGACCTGCGAGAAGGCGACGTCGTACCAGTTCGCGGTGCTCTTCATCGCCTTCGCATTCCTGGTGCTGGGCTCGGCGGGGATCCGCCCCTGCAGCATGCCCTTCGGAGCGGACCAGTTCGACCCCACCACGGAGTCCGGCAAGCGCGGCATCAACAGCTTCTTCAACTGGTACTACTTCACCTTCACGGCGGCCATGATGATCTCCGCCACCGTCATCATCTACGTGCAGAGCAACGTGAGCTGGCCCATCGGGCTGGGCATCCCGACGGCGCTCATGTTCCTGGCCTGCGTGCTCTTCTTCATGGGCACGCGCCTCTACGTGCGGGTGACGCCCGAGGGCAGCCCCTTCACCAGCGTCGTGCAGGTGCTGGCGGCCGCGCTCAAGAAGCGGTCGCTGAAGCAGCCCAAGGACCCGAAGCAGGACCTCTTCGACCCGCCGCACACCAGCGCCATCGTCACCAAGCTCGCGCACACGGACCAGTTCCACTGCCTCGACAAGGCGGCCATCGTGGCGTCCCCGGACGAGGTGCGCCCCGGCAGCGCCGCGCCCGCCGACCCCTGGAGGCTCTGCAGCGTGCAGCAGGTGGAGGAGGTCAAGTGCCTCATCCGCATCGTGCCGGTCTGGTCCACGGGGATCATCTACTACGTCGCCGTGGTGCAGCAGTCCACGTACGTGGTGCTCTCGGCGCTGCAGTCCGACCGCCACCTCGGCCGCGGCGGCTTCCAGATCCCCGCAGCGTCGTTCACCGTCTTCGCCATGCTCGCGCAGACGCTGTGGATCCCCTTCTACGACCGCCTCCTGCTGCCCAAGCTCCGGAAGATAACCGGCAAGGAGGAGGGGTTCACGCTGCTGCAGCGCCAGGGCATCGGCATCGCGCTCTCCACCGTGGCCATGGTCATCTCGGCCATCGTCGAGGACCGGCGCCGTGCCATCGCGCTGAGCCACCCGACGCTCGGCACCACCATCACCGGCGGGGCGATCTCGGCCATGTCCAGCCTGTGGATGGTGCCGCAGCTCATGATCCTGGGACTGTCGGAGGCATTCAACCTCATCAGCCAGATCGAGTTCTACTACAAGGAGATCCCGGAGCACATGCGCAGCGTGGCGGGGGCGCTCGCTTTCTGCAACCTGGCGCTCGGCAACTACCTCAGCGGCTTCCTGGTGACCATCGTGCACCGGACCACGGGGTCCGGGCAGAACTGGCTGGCGCAGGACCTCAACAAGGGCCGCCTCGACCTCTTCTACTGGACCATCGCCGGCATCGGCGTCTTTAACCTCATCTACTTCGTCATCTGCGCCAGGTGGTACAGGTTCAAGGGGGCCAGCAACTAATCCGCCGAGGTGACCGTCGTCTCACGATCACGAGTGCAGGCATGAATGAGCTCTGAGCTCTGTGTGGTCCTTGATGGCAACTTGGTTGGTGGCTTGGGTAATTATGTTATGGCCTTGGGAGAGGAGGAAAAAAAAGGGGGACCTTAGAATAAGGTCATGATAATTATTTGTGTTTACCATAGTAGTTGTTTGATATCGACGCCTCTCTTTTTTTGTTTATTACTTTATAATTTTGTTACTGGTCCTTTCATTTGAATCTATAGGATGATCAAGTGGCTGATGAAAGAGGAGAAAGAAACAAAAGAGTTGGTTTCTTGTAACTTGTAAGTGGTTAAACTGAAATACAAATGGATGTAAGATTGAATGAAAGTTTTAGTTCAGTTACCAGCTTATGAGGATAAACGAATGCCTTCAAAGTTCACTTCCGGTTGGTCTTCATGCCGTACCTGGTCATCGTTCAGCACTTCAGCTACAATTTAGCTTCGTACGCAGAGGCAACAAAGATAAAATTGACCCAAGGATGTTTTTACCTTGGCTGGAACAAATACTCTTCCCACTGCAAACAAAACCTTTACGGCTATTCCTAGCTGGTAGGTGCATCCTATATGGGTTAGATGCAGATAAACATAGCACGTCGATAATGCAACTCCTACAAACAACTTTTGACTAATTTCGATAATAGACCACCTTCACAGCATATGTACATTACAACATTGTTAACCAGAATCATGAAGCTGGACCAACACCGGGGAGAATGATGGGAAGAAAAGAATACACAGCTACTTTCTTCTCCTATCTCAACAGGGTGACGCATTTCAAACACCCCACTGTTTATGTTGTACACACCTATAAAAAAGGGCAGGGCAGACCCAGTGCCGGAGGCTCCCACATGAGTAGGGTCTGGGGAAGGGAAAAACCGAGGCAAGCCTTCCCCCCGCAAATCTGCAGAGAGGCTGCTTCGAACCCGTGACCTGGTGAAGAAAGAAAAAACTGAAGGGAAAGCTGATTAGTTACATGGAGGGACCGATCTAATCAGTTGGCATCAACCATACTGACAATGAGCTAGGCAAATGATCTACCAAAATACTACCGGGGTGTAAACTTCAAGTCAAGTGACAATCAGAAGGTTGTTTTCATGCCCATTATTGTGCACAGTGGGTCGCAGCGGATCATTCTTCCAAACACCATCAACGATAAACTTAATCTGGAGCACATTTGGAAACTATCAGGGGATGTAAGCATATAGATGATTGGGTGTAAAAGGGCAGATAAACTTAATCTGGAGCACATTTGGAAACTATCAGGGGATGTAAGCATATAGATGATTGGGTGTAAAAGGGCAGATGATTACCTCATATCTACCAGGGTACAGTCTCAGATTTAAGGAAAACATGCCGTTTTCTGATCTTTCCATCTTTCTCTGCAATGATGTTTAGAATTAGATTATTATCCTTAGAAATGAGATGGCAATGAGGAATAATCACATGTGGACTATCTTTCAAATATATAGATACCATCATGCAAGCAGTGAGTTACACTAGCGCCAGTAGATTTCCTACACCAAACATGACTTGCAAAAATCGACTTTGTATTTGTTGCTTGGAAACAGAATCAAAGTATGCCTTTTGGTTCAAAATCTGCTTTGGTCCTTAGTTACAAGGACAGCAAACATGGATTGGTGAACCTCATTGAACTCAGCAATACTATACCCACCTACAGACCATTAAGAAAAGTTTGAAAAATCCAGCACAACCATACAAAGATCTATGGTCCTACAGATAAGTGTTCTTGCCCACAAGCAATTCAGCTGCTAATCAGCAGTAATAAACAACAAAATATATTTCTTGTTCTAGAATGTAACCAAGGCATCATGCTATGCGCTATCATGAAGCTAACATTGTGTAGACACACGATTCAAAGCAGATATATAAATTATGCACTCCACATAGTTAGAATCTTCCTCCCTCCAATCGTAAATATAAGTTGTTCTAGACATTGACAATCTAAAGGGCAGGCCTGGTGCAGTGGTGAGAGTTGTCTCACTGAGTCACCAGGTCGTGGGTTCAATCAGCCTCTCCGTAGATTTTGCGGGGGAAAGGCTTGTCTCGGTTTATCCCTTCCCCAGACCCCACTCATGTGGGAGCCTCCGGCACTAGGTCTGCCCTTTTTTAGACATTGACAATCTATGAAGTGGAACTTTGAATAGCAATTTCTATGAAAACATGTTTTTGAAAAAATATATTATGAAGTGCTTCTCAAGATGAATCTACCAACATCGATCTTATGATGTCAATCTACCTGACTCATCATGTAATGGTCAATGTTAAAATGTTTGACCTGTATGAATCCTAAAATGACTTGTATTTAGGAAATCAAAGCTGAAACTACGCTATGTGTCTAAAGCAAATAGTTTCATAATAATTAGTGGAGCAGGCTGTATCTACCACCGTTCTTCTTTTTTTTTTTAACCAGAAAAACAGAAGGGGAAGCCCCCACTGTTAGATTTTATTAAAACACAAAAACAAACACTGAGCAAAACAAACGGAAAACACTTCAGCTAAACCCGAGCGAGGCTAGAACAAGAAGAAAAACAAAGAACCACTAAACACAAGAATCAACCCAGGAGAGAAAAACAGATCGCTTGTTTCCAGAAATCCTATACACCTGTAGTCAAGCTTCGTCTTTGAGAGATCTTCTCCAGGAAGAGAAGGAAGGAGGTCCTCTCATAAAAATGAGGTTATTGCGCTGCTTCTAGATTTGCCATGCAGAGATAATGAACACTTCCATGAAGAAAGGATATGGAAAAGCTTGTTTGGCTTATATCAACATTTGTAGGCAATCTGTCGTAAGATTCCACTGAATGACAAGGAACTGCCAACAGTGTTGGCTGAAAGAACAAGTGAATAAGAGATGAAAGGCCGTTTCTTCAACATTCATATTGCAAAGGACACAGTTGTATTTGCCTTCCAGCTTGAGCTTTTTCCTCCTAAGGATGTTCCTACTGTTGAGTCTGTCCATTAGTAAGAACCAGGAGAAAACTCTCAGTTTCTTGCAACATTTGGACTTACAAATCCACAGGAAGGGAGCAGGGGGTTATTTTTTCATCCAATGTGAGGCAGAAATGGGCTTATAAAGGGCATCCAGCTAACTGGGTATTATAGTTACTATTGACAGTGTGACAAGACAAGGATTAATGGTTACTACATTGGTCGAATACAAATAAAGGTGATAAAGCCTAGACCTAGGGTGAAGCCATGTGCAATATTCTGCCGTCCAAACCAAGTTGTCCAAGACTAGGTTCTAGAAAGGTGGAAACATTATCAGTTTCATTAGCACATAAGAGAACTTGTGGATTCCTTAACGTCACAGTGCATGATTACTAAACTCAACATATCAAGTATTGTTATTCTTCTACAACATGTTGTCCTTGGACAGAAGCACATGGAATAGGCTTTCCATCTCTTACTTCTATAAGTTTTTCCTCCTTTTTGTAGGCCGATTCACTGATGTGGTTTAATGGTGGCTCCTTGGGATTAGAAGGCTATGTATTCATAGGGTACAAGTGCATCTATGCAACATAAGTGTACCTGAAACGAGGTTTCCGGCATCCAGTTATCCACATCCAAGTCACTGTTACTGCCTTTATGGTATAATGTGATTAAGATGTGTGGACACACCAGCCATACAAGTTTCCATTTAACAGTCTTTTACAACAACTGGTCTTATCTGTCCTGTTGACGCCTGCCATTCTTTGCCACAAGCATTGTCCGGTATGGTGGTTGAAGAAGGTAACTGTTGGATTGCCGCGGGTAACGGCGACTTGGCTGCCCTGCTCATTCTGTTCAATGCTTGAGAGACCTTCGATGTCATGGTTCTCGCATTTTCTATGTAATATCACGTAGATGGTTGTGCGTTCTAGCACTGTCTAGGATTGCCTCTCGCCATCCTCAACGGCAAGGCGCTTTTGTAACAAACACCATCCTTTCCTTTTAATGAAACACATGCAAGGCACGTTTGCGAAAAAAAATACCAGAAGCTATAAGCATCATCTCTTTAACAGCACCTATATTCATTAGAATAAACTTAATATTATACTAAGGATGACAACAACAACAAAAAAGAGTATCTATGAATGGGCACATATCTTGTAATTCCTTAGTAATTTTTCAGTTTTTACGACATAGATTGGAGTAGGCACTTACTTGACTCGTCCAGCCATCAAAGGACCCAACCACTAAAACATCTGAAGCAGGGTTGGCCCACATAATACAAACAGTACGGAGCTCACTCAGTGCCTTCTCAACTTCATCAAGCCTCCTTTGTTTATCTTCAATTATTTTGTTCCTTTCACTGATGATGTGATAGATTTATAATAGGGTAAGTAGGAGAGAATGAGATGAAATATGAAGCATAGATGATTAATGTGAGGGCATACAATATCTCAAGTGCCATCTTCCCTTCTAACACAGTTATTTTAGCCCGGATTGATCTTAGCTCCTCCTGAGCCTGCATTACCTTTGTCTCCTCAAATTCCCAATCATCAGAGATGTCATCCAGCACAGTTGTTCCATCACTATTTGACTGAAAAAGTAAATAACAAATTAAGAAAGCCTGCTTTCTTAGAGAGACCAATATAATTCCATTAATAAGATCAAGATGAGAAACATCTCAGAGATTAACTTAGACACCTGATTTATCACCATTTGAGTGGAAAAAGAAACAAGATATTTAGAATACAGCTGGCAAGTACAATGCCACTAGAAACATTAACAATTTCCCGAGGTCATTACTGACAGGCTGTTTGCTTATTGTGCCATATTGCGCTTCCGAAAATTATGAAACATCAACTGATTTGCAGCTAACTACAGACAGAAAACATTCAACACTGCAAGGGAGCATCCTCTACTGTCAACTGCAGTCATTTGTACATTAGGTGTGTGTTCATGAAGATACTATTAATCACAGTGTACACGATTTGATCAGAAGCTTCCCATGCTGGCACTCTATCTGTGGGTTGGGGGGGGGGTCAGGTTTGTTGGTGTACAGAAAATAGTCAAATAAAGGCCAGCAACTGTAGAACAGGTAAAGAAAAGTGAATGCAATAAAAAATTTAAACAGGAATGTGATAATTTGAAGAGATACACACCATATCTGATAAAACTTTATCAAATCTTGATCTTAATGTCTTGAGAGCAGCAGAAAGGTCCAATTCCAGAGTTTGAAGACGTGAATGTATCTCATCTCTTTCAGTGCCAACACCATCACTAGGATAATCACTTACAGCCACACCATTCGATGACATTTGAACGTCATTTTGCACAGATGCAATGTCATCATGTTGGGATAATTTTCTTCTTTCAGTAGGTAGGACCTCAGCAGCTGCAGAAATTAAATATGTCAACAAACAATTATGTAACAAATATGATGCACTATAGAATAAAGATGAGAAGCAGACATATAACCTTCAAAATGAGATAAACCACCCTTGCCAAGGGTCCATGTTTTCCATGCATCATTGCTTGGACTCTGTAAGGTGCTGTTGCCCTCTATTGTTCCATTTTGAGAATGAGATCCATGGACACTTCCATTCTCAGGTACCCCTGGAATATGCCTGCCACCAGCCGCTGTATGACTAGGGGCGCCACTGTTGCCAGCTAAAGTTGTACATATGCAACATAGTTGCGTCACTTTAGTTAAATATACAAAAATGAAATGCAGTACAAGCTAAGCTACATCAGTTGTTTGTAGTTCATAGCCCACTTGAGGGCAGGCAGAAACTAACTGCTGTGAACCTTCTGTTGATGCAAGGAAAAAAAGAAGAAAACAAAATAACTCAGTGGTGCTTTTGCAATTAGTCAAAATTTCAATCATAACGTGAACGGTGCGAACTATGAACATCAACATGAACATCGGTGATACGATGGATCACAGAATAACCATAAACTGCTGTCACTATTCAATTTTCACTTGGCTGACAAAAAGGTTATGTTTGCTGTGTAGCCTTAAATGGACAACCCACAAATCATCACGACATATTAGAGTTTGGCAAGGAAGTACTACTAAAACTGCACAATTGGAAACAAGTTATGTTCCTGAAGAACTCATACTCTCTGAGAATTTAAACCCACATACCATCATCGTCACTTTGGCCCCGTGTGTCGTGGGTACTACTCCGTGGAGGTGGCCGCGCTCGCTCCCTATCCTTCTGCAGCCTGGTGAGCATCCCCTCGATTCCTGCTTTGAACTTGACCTCGCTGCAACAACCGTGAATAACATGATTAACCAGCAGAACACCACGGGATTGAATCAGCTTTGAGCCTCAGCAGGCATCCACCTGGTCTCCTCTGTTTCCTTCTCCCGCCCAGATGATGACGCCTCCTTCGTCGTCGTCGTCGTCGTCCTCCTCCTCCTCCTCCTCCCTGCAACGCAGACAGCGAAATTCAGCGAGGCATCGCGCGAGGACATAGAAGGGCACAGCGAAGCACAGAGCAATCCCATTCACCCACCACTCGGAGTCCTCCACCGAGCCCGGCACTAGGTCACCACGGTAATACGAACGGTGGCCCCCGCCCGATGAGCGCGGCGCGGCCGTGGTGGCGGGGCCCTCCGCGGCGGTGGAGGACGACCAGCCGAGGGAGAGCCAGCCCCCGCTGGACGCGACGGCGGCCGCGAGGTCGGAGCGGCCCGCCGCGACGAGCTCCTCGCGGGTGGGGAAGGCTCCCGGCTTGGCGGAGCGGCACATGAAGTCGTAGATCGCCGCCTCCAGCTCCTCCTGGCCCCGACCGCGGGGCGCGGCGGCATTTGCGTCGCGCGGCGGCGGCTGCGGCTGGGAGGACGGGCGTGGCGCAGGCGTCGGTGTCTGGCTCGGGGCGTCGTGGCGGCGGCGGCGGTAGTATGGCTGCCTGGAAGAGTGCGGGGACGAGGAGGTGGACGACGCGGCGGGCAGGAGGCAGCGGCGGCGGCGGGGGTGGCAGCGAGGTGGCGCGGGTAGGATCAGGGCTGGGATTGGGAGGAGCAGCGAGGGGACGAGTGCGGGCATCGCGGTCGCATCTCTCTCGCGCACGGCGCACCCGCGCGTCGCATCGCATATGCGCACGGGGGGGAGAGCGGTTTGCCCTGGTGCGCCCTGCGTGAGTTCCATCAGTTTTCCTGGCTACTAACCCACCAGAGTACAGTACCAGGGATGGATCACCCGGGCCCTCGATGCGGAGCGGCGCATGATGTGATCCGGACACGATGATGCGACGGCGACACCTGTGACAGAGAGCAAATCTCGTGATGCTTTTGGTTTGGTTTCTCGTCGCCGGACGTGGACTTGTCCCCTCGCTGCTCCTCGATCCGGCCCGCAAGGTCAGGCGCCACAACCTTCGATTTGGCACGCCTGATTTAATGATACACGATAAGACAGAGGGGTGAAATAAGGTGATGATTTACGGAAGTGATAGCGCCCGCGCTGCACTCTAGGCTTGTGCTCGCGCTCGCACACCCCTGCCTACGCCTGCATTTCCTGTGCCCACACGGGCCCGCGTCGCCCGGACGACAAACGTGCTGCCAGACCGCGTTCAGGGACTGCTCGCGCCTCCTTCGTTTCTCACGTGCCTTAGGACACATGAACGATCTATTTTTAAAATATTTAGACATAATACTTACAACATATTTTTAAAGAAAGATGAATCACTTTAAACACGCATTTAAAACATCTGAAAAACACTTGAAAAAATTACACATACAAAACATCCAAATAAAAATTTACAGCATATATATGTGAAATATATTCAGCATCTAGATAAACACACAAACATGCGTATGAAAAAACAGATTAAATATTAGAAACAAAAGCTTGCAACATCTATATACAACCATTGCAACATATGTAATATTTATATCAAACACTTGCAACATACCTATAAAACATCTCAAAGACTTGAAACATATGCCTGCAACATGTATTTTTCACCCGTTCTTCCGGACGACGCAAAGCAGAGCAGGGAACGATCGGTTCTAGACAACCGGCGGCCGAGGATGGTGGCACGACGTGGCAGCGGCCAGCTACGCCTACGCCTGGCCTATGCCCGGACAACAACGACCCCATCTCCGCCGCTTGGCCACACACAGCGCCCGCCGCCTACAAGTGGAGATGGAGGATGGAGAGGGAGGAAGGCGGCCGCCGGCACTCAGATGTGGTGGAGATGGAGGATGGAGGCCGTGGGTCGGGTGGGCGTGGTGGAGAACATTGATGCGAGGCGGTCGCGCGGTGGGGGAAGGGGGCGGGCGGATGAGCGGAGTGAGAATTTTTTGAGAGATGAGGGTTGGTCCTGCGTAGGTATGGGAGCCGCGTCCGGACGGAAGTCACGGACAGATACATGTGTCATATCATTATCGGATGATTTAATCCCCCCCCCCTCAATATCATTTGCAATTTCACTCTGATTCGCCTCAGCTTCTTACTCATGAGCCATGACCATAATGCAAACACATGTGGTGTAAACTTTAAAAAAAACACTCACACACCCACCTGTGGTATAAAGGGTTAAAGCTAACAAGTATGCTTCCGATTACATTCACTTATTTTTCTTTATTATTATCACAGCGTTCATAGCTTGTCTTTTTGTAGTTCTGCTTGGAGCTTGTGGAGGCACATAGTTACATACAAACGGGAAATTTACGCCCAAAGATAGTTTTATTTTTTTTACTCAATTCATTAAGGTTTAGTTTTGGAAATATTGTGTTCTTGCTCCTACTTTGATGTCCAATTGTGATTTTACCTCTATTTTTGTCATCGTTGTGATTTTACCCCTGCTTTGTAACTACTAAGGCTCAGTTTATCCCTACTTTTAACTCTGTTAGTTGTTTCGGAATAAAAAAATTAAAAAACAACAAAACCCATCACAATAAGATCAAATGACAATAATACCCCTTATCCAACCATACCTTCTCTAATTCCCTATTCTCTCTACCTTATCCTCTCTACCTCTCCCGTTCTTCTCTGAAACCGAAGGCACGGAAGCTGCTGGGTGGATCTCACGGCTGGGCGACGAGGGCACAAAAGCTGTTGGGCGGGTCGTAGCGCCGCGTGAGGAGGGCAAGGGCACGCAGCCTGAGCAGGCCAGAGCCAGGGTCGTCGGGCGGCTAAGCGCGCAAGCTCGTCGTCTTGGTAGGGTAGGCGCGTGTCGTGGGCGCCCAGGCGGGTGCGTCATGGGCAGCCAGGCGGTGCGGGAGCGGACAGGGCCCAGTGTGGTCAGGAGGCAGGCACCCTGAGCGGGCAGGCCTCTAGGCGCTACGCCACGCGAGGACAGGAGCAGCGACCCCGGCGAGATGGATTTATGCGACGTTGGTGAAGAGACTAGGTAAGATTTGGAGCTCATGTGATTTGGTCTGTAGGAAAATTAATATCAATCTGTAGGAAGAATGAGTTTATGCTTGTAGAGCGATTTAGCTAACTGTGTATTCGGTACATCGATATGAGCCTTGTTGTTAGAGTTCTATCATTTTTCAGTTTGCCTGATGGGGGACCAAAATCATGGCAACAGGGTAGAACCTTGCCTACTCAAGTTGTTGACATGCATAGCTTTGACCTACTGCAGCTAGTTAATTTCATAGCTGAGCACTACATGTGGGATTCAAAACAGTACATAAGTTTGTGGCGTGCATTGGATGAAATTTCTAGAGGACCTTCTATTGAGATTAAAACTGATGAGCAGTTGATTGAGTGATTTGAACTCAATAAAGATAAGGAAAAGGTGTACATTAATGCCCAAATTAATGATTTTGAGGGTCCATTGTGATTTTTACTAACAAAACGTAGGTGCCACCCTTCTATAAGGAATAGAGTGCCCACCAATAAGACAAACACAGCTGAGAGAGCCACATCCACAAACAAAAAAGAGAGAGCCACCAAAACAGAGAGAGCCACCAAATCCAAAGCAAAAGGCGCACATCATGATGAGGGTGTAGAGTTGATGAGGAGGGCATATATTCTGACACCGATTCACTTGTGGCAGCAAGTGATAGCAGCTAAGATAGTGACTTGGCTGCATCCTTTGATTCTTGTGATGATTGCTTTGACCCTGAGTTTAATCCCGATGAACCAGTTGTTGGTGATGATGATGAATATGACCCTCCACCCTTCTCATATGATGTTGATTATCCATGTATTGATATAAATGTGGTGTTCCCAGACGTGGATCAGTGCAAGTCTGCAGTTACACATCATGCCATCTTGAATGATCATGCTTTTGAGATTGTGAAAAAGGACAAGAGCATATTTAGAGCCATACGCAAGAGAGCAAATCAGGGTTGCAAGTGGAATTTTTTTGCATCTACAAGTAAAAAGTACATTGGCTGCAAGGTCATTTCAAATTTTTTGTAACATTCAGCATCAAGTAAGAAGTATTAGTGTGCAGCAATTTACTAATAAAATGGTTCTTTTCTTGCTGTTTTTTTGTAGGTTAAGACTAGTGGTCCAAAGCATACTTGTGGTTCATTCAACAATTGTGGTGAAACAATAGCCTCCAATAAATGAGTAGCTGAAAGAGTTGTCGATTTACTACGGGAAAACCTTGAAATGAGACCAAAGGAGTTGCAAGATAGGCTCAAAAAGTACTCGATAGAAGTTCCATACGATAGAGTTTTTAGAGGCAAGCTAAGGGCAATGGACATCATATATGGGAAGTGGAATGATAGTTATAACTTGCTACCAACTTATCAAGCTGAGCTTCTAAAAGTAGTACCTAGCAACATCATTGACATAGACACTGAAGAAGATGACAATGGTGATTTGTGTTTCAGTAATTTCTTTGTTGCTCTTAAACCATGCATTGATGGGTTCTTGCAAGGATGTATGCCTTACATTGCCATGAATGCCACACACTTGACTGGAAGGGGAAGGGGCCAGTTAGCAGCAGCTGTGCGGTGGATGGTCAAAACTGTTTATTTCCAGTGGCTTATGGTGTGATTGAGACTGAGTCTAAGGAAAGTTGGACTTGGTTTGTGTCGGTGCAGAAAGTGACCAACACATAAATATTTATAGTTTTGCCGTACGTTGTGATCGGATGTGGCATAGCACTCAATAACACAGGGTTTATACTGGTTCAGGCAATGTGCCCTACTTCTAGTTTGAGTCGGTCGGTGGCTTTATTCCTGAGCCTAGGTGCTCAAAGTTTGTTGTGGGGTTACAAACGAGAGGGAGAAAGATGGGGGTGCAAGAGGTCCGGTCAGACTCCAGTCTGAAGGGCTAGAGTGATGGGAGCTCCGCTGTGCGCTAAGTGTTCAAACGTCTGTTGTTCGTTCGGATCCTTGGTCATTCGGATCGTGTGTGTTGCTTGAGTTGTGAATCGATTTATCTATTGGGAGAGAGCGCGACCCCTTTTATAGATGAAGGGGATAGCCTTACAAGAGAGAGAGAGAGTATGTATGCTTACTAAGTCCTGTTGCCCACGTCGTCGGGTGCAAGATGATTGTAGGTGCCCACAATACTGTTGATGTCAGACGCATGTGGGAGGTTTCTATCATGTTCTCCATGTAGGGTAAATGATGGCGCCTACAACACTGTTGATGCCCAGAGGCATGTGGAGAGAGCCTTACCGTGTTTGTCTGGTATGGGAGTTGATGGCGTCCACAACACTGTGGGGCAAATATCGACACCCACAACATTGCTTGGATTATGTCATGCCTGCAAGGTTGCAGGGCACCCTTCTAACATGTCCTATTGGTACTGCAGGTGTACAGGGTATGGTCCATGGTATTACGATTGACTTGAGTCCCCTACTTTACCTGCTCTGCCCGTTACCTGGTCCTCACCGAGCGGGCGTTTCCGGTCGGTTGGTCCTAGTTGGCTCCGACTACGCCAGTCAGAGAAGAGCTATAAGTAGAGGTTCGGTGTATCCCTAGTCGGAGATGCGGGTTAGAGTTGGAAGTGGACGTCATTCCTCCTTAGCTAGCCTTTTAGGTCGAGAGGCGAGCTGGACTTAGAAGCGAGGCCTTTCGATTGTAGAGGCGGGCTAGAGTCGAGGCGAGTGAGCGCCATTTTTCCTTTACTAG